ACACACATATATATATATATATATATATATATATATATATATATATATATATATATATATATATATATATATATATATATATGTCAATAAAAATTTTGAAATATATATATATATATATATTTCAAAATTTTTATTGACAACAAAGGCAATCAAGAAGTTATAAGATATATATATATATATATATATATATATATATATATATATATATATGAACACTTACAAACATTTATTAATTTTATATCTTTACATCTTTTATTTATTATATATATATATATATATTCATTGACAACAAAGGCAATCAAGAAGTTATAATGTATATATATATATATATATATATATATTCTCAAACCTTGTAACAACGAGATGTTGTTCTTACCTATTGGTCGCGACACCCCAATTTGAGTTTCTTGGTTACAATAATTGAGTTGTGTTATCTTAAACCTTATTCGGCAGGCTACTGACGAGTCTCGTGAGAGACGAAACGTACGTTTGGCCTATGGCGGGTAATGGTTTACCAATAATACCTCTTGCGACTGAATGGGTTCTTAAACCTTGTAACAACGAGATGTTGTTCTTACCTATTGATCGCGACACCTTAATTTGAGTTTCTTGGTTACAACAATTGAGTTGTGTTATCTTAAACCTTATTCGGCAGGCTACTGACGAGTCTCGTGAGAGACGAAACGTACGTCTGGCCTATGGCGGGTAATGGTTTACCAATAATATATTATAACCGTGCTACCGAACGCACTAGATTCTAGCCAATTCTAGAATGTTCTAGTGACTGGAGCATTCTAGAGTATGCTAGAATCGGACCATCTAGAAGAATCTAGAAACGACGCTTGCGAAGAATATATAAGCGCACGTCGCAAGAAGATTAGCGATTAGTGAAATCCGTGATTAGTGAAATTCGTGATTAGTGAAATTCGTGATTTTGTAAATTCGTGACTCTGTGATTTTGTGAATAGCGATTCGGTGAATTATTAAAAGCGATATTTGATTTGTTTGTTGACGTTGTCACAGCGATAGATTATGAACAATTTAAAAGTTAATTGTTGCGTTAATTTGGATTTGCTAGAAATAAACGATTAGTTGATTTCTTCTGTAAATAAAGTTTAATAACTAATAACTGTTTGGAGTATTTTATTCAATCGAAGATTTGAACCCGTCGTAAATCGGTTACGACAGCGAGTATTATAACTATATATATATTTTTTTTTTTTTTTTGTTAACAGACTGTTGTTAACGCAACATTTCAAAAATTCAACACTACTTTCAACATTGTTCAACTTTTTTATATTTCTATTTATTTTATTAATTTCAGAGAAATTAGACATTTTATTGTTTTTTTTTTAATTTTTTATTAAATAAATTTGCAAATAGCTATTTCGAGTTATAGATAACTCATCTTCAGTGCATTATATATAAGATATGTAAGATATTTGATAAGAAGGAACAAGTAATTATTAATTTATATAAATTATTTAATTAAAACAGAAAACCAATAAAATAAATTTAATAACTATAAACAATATAAAACGCGATTTTTAAAATTTTTAACGGCAAGATTGTTTATATTAGGTTGTTAAGGTAAATATCAACGCTCAGCCGAGAAGCGCGAATTAATTTATTTAATTAACTACATATTATTAATATTATTTTACAATATTTAAAAACGTTATTATTATTATTTTTGTTAACGTTATTGTTACTATTATTATCGCTGTGGTTCTTCTTACATCTTGTGATGATGTTCCATTTGCAAGTGATATTTGCGCTGTGGGTTGTGGCGTTGGTATCTACAGAATTTAAAAAGAATTGATAGAATTTAGAAACCAAATCAACAACAAAATAAATGACAAAAATAAGATAATATTTTATTACAAAAATACCTTTTCAATGGCGTATAAAGAAGATGAAAGAATTTTAAAAGGAATAATACGCAGAAACGTAGTAGCGTCAAATCAAATTAATAAAGTTGTTCTTCGAATTTACTATCAAAATTTAAAAACATCCCAACTAATCATGAAAAATAATTGCCTTCCTGCAACTACTCAACTACAACAAAGTCATCTAATATATGAATATAAATGCTCCGTCAGTGAATGTTCGCACCGCAACAATGCTTCATATATTGGAATGACAACTACCACTCTGTCAAGACGCTTGACTATGCATCTACAAGATGGAGCAATTAAACAACATTATCAACAACAGCATAACATCACTTTAACACGACAAATGTTAAATAACACGCAAATAGTTTATTGTAATAACAACATCACAAACCTGAAAATCGCTGAATCAATTTTCATACAAAACAAAAATCCCTCCATGAACATCCAAGTACAGTCTAACAACATTCTACCTTCAAATAGACTACTAAATAAAAACAACAATCATTATAATTATAACAACAACAATTACGACAACAGAAATAATTATAACAATGTCATCACCAACAATATTGATGATGTAAACAACAATCATTCCAATAGTGACAGCCTTAACAACAACATCAACAACACCAACAACAACATCAACTACAACATCAACAATAACAACAACAACAACAACAACAGTGTCAACACTGTAGATACCAATGCTACAACCCACAGCGCCAATATCAGTAGCAATTGGAACATCATCAATAGTGACAACCCTAACAACAACATCAACAACACCAACAACAACATCAACAACAACAACCACATCATCAACAATAACAACAACAACAACAACAGTGCCAACACTGTAGATACCAACGCCACAACCCACAGCGCAAATATCACTTGCAAATGGAACATCATCACAAGATGTAAGAAGAACCACAGCGATAATAATAATAACGTTAACAACAATAATAATAATAACGTTTTAAAATATTGTAAAAATAATATTAATAATATGTAGTTAATTAAATAAATTAATTCGCGCTTCTTGGCTGAGCGTTGATATTTACCTTAACAACCTAATATAAACAATCTTGCCGTTAAAAATTTTAAAAATCGCGTTTTATATTGTTTATAGTTATTAAATTTATTTTATTGGTCTTCTGTTTTAATTAAATAATTTATATAAATTAATAATTACTTGTTCCTTCCTATCAAATATCTTACATATCTTATATATCATGCACTGAAGATGAGTTATCTATAACTCGAAATAGCTATTTGCAAATTTATTTAATAAAAATTTAAAAAAAAACAATAAAATGTCTAATTTCTCTAAAATTAATAAAATAAAAAGAAATATAAAAAAGTTGAACAATGTTGAAAGTAGTGTTGAATTTTTGAAATATATATATATATATATATATATATATATATATATATATATATATATATATATATATAAACACTTACAAACATTTTTTAATTTTATATCTTTACATCTTTTATTTATTATTTATATTTTATGAGTTAGACTTTGCCCATTACAATGTTTTTAAAAAATCACAGAACTTTTCTTTTTCTCATATTTCACAAATTATATATTAGTTTTTCTATTTTTTATAATTATCTTACTCTAAATGTTTAGATTATTTATTGTACGAACGAATAGATTTCTTAGATCATACTTTATATTTATTTTTTACAATAATTAATTAAAATCATCATTTAACATTTTCAAATAGACAAGAATCATTTACATACATTTCTAGAAACTCGTCTCATCATCAGTATAAAATTTACAACATTATTTTATTCATGTTATTATATTGTTTATAATATTATTTGTAATATTAGTATTTTTCTTATTATTATTGTGAGTATATAATTATGAATAAGATTAAAACTGCATGATCGATCATTTATGTTGATTGAATTAAATAAATAAATTAATTAAAATAAATTGATTAAAACTCTAATCTCAATTAAATGTGATCATTTTTTGTGGGCAAGTGCTGCGTTAAATGACATTTACTGACCAACTTCCAAAAAAAAACAGTAATTAAACTTATCTACCAAACTTTTGAAATACATAACTGAGCAACTTGAGTTATATCATAATTTGGATGTCGTCAGTAATAATGTGACATTTATACATATCCAAAAAGATATCTAAACGGATGAACCAAAAACGAATAACAAACTGGAAAACATTAGTAGAAGAATAAAAATATAATGTTTATTAAAATGAGTTTCAGTAATTCGACGATCGCTGTGGCTATCATGGCTGCGACGGCAATCGTCAACACGGTCGGGTCGGTGTCGGTCATCAGCACCGTGGTGATTGACACCACCATCTTTGGCCGGGACTCGCGGGAGTACAATATCTTCTCAGGGTCGAAATATAACAGCTGGGCGAAAGAGAATATTCGACCTTTTTACCGGGTGTACGGATCGACCTTTCCTCACACTCGCAAGTCTCCTCTCAAGCGCTGACTCACTTTTAAGATTTTATTTATAAAAACACAATACTTTGAATTAATTCTTTATAAATTTAATTAACAATGATTAAAAATCAAATTACTAAAATGTTAATAAATAATCGCTATTATACTTTCCTTCTTACAATTATTGTGATGTACCGTCATGTTAAATTGGATGTAGGTAACGTCGGACAATGATAACATCTTGAATGGTGATGCACTACCCCCACAAATTCGATGATCGCCTCATCTCTGTTAACCTGAATGTCTGAATAACTCGATGAACAAATACCAGAATGAATGTGTTCCCCCTTCCTAGTGTTGCAGCTGACTGAGTATATATAATCTTTGCCTTCTTAACTTCCTCATACATCCTACTATGACGTACAATTTTTATCCAGGACCATTTCATCTACGTGTGGTTGATCCCATCGTGACGACCGTTTCATTTTTTTGGACAGGGGCTGTCTGCGCTGGATCCGCTCTCTTGACCCGCCATTGCGACGTGTTTAACTCCATCCCGTCCGCTATTGAAAAGAATCCGTCGCCAGCCTCTGAATATGCATCGTGAATCTGAATCGTGCATCCCTGAACCAAATTCCTTGCTGATCACTAGTTTTCCGTTTGGCTGACCACGAAAAGTTCAAAAGTTCTTTTAAGTTTTAAGTTCTCCGTCTGGCTTTCAGCATTTTTCGTATTAGATAAGACAGCCGTCGTTGATTGCCTACTTTGCGACACTGTGATTTCCGATTTGTAACACCTCTCTACGCTGGTGAAAAAATCAAAAAATGTTTAACTCTCTTTCTGGCCTTTGCCACGAGTTTTTCTTTATCTGGTTCTCTTATATCCTGACCCCTATCAAATCCGGGCAGAAGACGCGCCATTAGCTCACACACAAATCTTTTCCTCAAATCTATAGCTGGAATTGAGAAAAAAGGATTTTTTTTGTGTTTCGTCAACAAACTCGCTATGCGAACCAATGTCAGTCACGTTGTTAGGTAGCTGATAAACATGACGTTCTCTCGGCCTTAAAACAAACGACTTGAAGTGAAACCCGTTGCAGAATGTACACTCGCCCTGTAGGCCGCCATGACAAAAGGAAGGCAAGCATCACAGTCGTTGTGCAAATCTTGTATCACCCTTGCCAACATTGAATTTAGTGTTCTGTAAAATTTTTTAATTGCTCCGTTAGCTCTGTTAGGGTTTTACGGTGATGTGCGTATTTTTTCGATGTCGAACCTGCAGAGTAATTTTTTAACAGATTGTTTCAAACTCATGGCCTTGATCTGTAAAGATTTGCCTTGGCATTCCGAACATAAAAACTTTCTGTAGTTAATACTTTGGCAACTGATTTTACTGTATACTTTCTCAACGAAAATGCTTTGGCCCATTTTGTAAAATGATCTAGAATTGTCAGAATATAAATGTTGCCATTCTTCAACTTAGGATGCGGTCCGGTGATGTTCAACGCTATCAGTTCTCAGGGTACCCCGGATAATATAACCTTCACAGCTGCATGACGTGGTGATTTATCTCTGTAATATAAGCCAGATACGTATATGGACATAAGTCTGACAGAACTAAATCCATCAACCGCTGAAACGTGGCCCCAGCGTAGCACAAACCAAAAAACATTTTTTTGTAAAGGAACATGCCCCCGTTGCACACGAATGCTGTTTTGTCTCTGTCCTCAGAATGTATCTATATCTGGTGATAGAAAGATTTGAAGTTCAGAGT